CACTTCCAAGCACTCTGTTAATGTAGCTCTGAAGAGCCTCTCTCCTTTTCCGGGGGACCTGCTTTTAGATGATGTTTGCAAGCAAAGGCTGTACTCCGCATTCAGGGAGCTCTGAGCATTTAGAGACAAGAGAAACACAGAAGTGACCTCCGGGAACCACTGTTCACAATGCGCCTGTGGTCCCCTTTGCGAGAGGCCTTTGGCATTATTGTTCATCGCATGTAAAGTGTGAATTATAGCCGTACCTAGAACCATGGTCCAGTTGGGTTAGGCACTGCAAGGACAGATTCAGCCTGTCCTCCAAGATCCTAGAGTCTTATAAAATAGTTTAAATGTTTTTGGACTCTCTGACTGCAAAACAAAGAGGAGTGTGGGGGAGCACTGTCACATTTCGTCTTGCAGAAGGGAAGCTGCGAAACAGAGACTCATCCTGTGGCTTGCCCAGACTCAGAGGAAGGCCCTGCGGCAGAAGCAGAACTGAGCCCTAGTCTTCAGCCTCCCAGCCCCTGCTCCAGCCTCTTTGGTCAGCCTGATCTCATTTCACCGGCTGTAGCTTCAAATCAGCTTTAGCCATATGCACAGAGCTGACATTGCAGTCACAGTACTTGCCTTGCAGGAGACTATTTTTTTATTTTCCTCTTTCCAAACACTGATATTTTTGGTGCAAGTTAATTGACACTGGGACCCAGGAAGGCTTTTCTGCCTATGGGCTCCCGTACGTCAGGGGTGCGGCAGGGCTGCAGTCCCCATCCGACGCAGGCAGCAGGTTTCTGATCTGGGCGCAGACTGGGCGAGATGCAGAGAGCAGCAGGAGAGGCTAGAAGATGCTGGTGCTGTGATTCTGGTTTGATGTAGGTGTCATGAGTCATGTGGATGACTTGTAATGGTACCTTGTGTGTCTCAGTTTTGCAGGCTGCTTTTTTTTTCTTTTTCTTTTTTTCTTTATTCCCCTTTTCTTTAAGCAGTGCTGCCTGGCAGGGAGGGACTAGTTGTGGATGTGGCTGGCCTGACAGTGTGAAAAAGCCTGCTTGAGGACATGGCTAGAAATGAAACAATGATTGCTCCTTCCCTGGAAATGACATTGCTCCATGACAGGTCCGTCCTGCCTTTGGTTGTCTAGATGGCATTTCTGGAATTTCCCGAACATCCTTCCTAAAACTTCTTGGAGATGGTATATATATTTAGCTGGAGGTGTGTCATTGTGCTTTTGTGTGCCAGATCTGTATCATGATGCAAACCTCCCTGCATTTTGATGACAAAAGAAACAGACATTTTTGCATGCTTGCAGTTTGCACAGAAATTGCACATCTAATACTCTTGCTCTGAGGCTCTCGGTTATCTCTCCATCTGGCTAAGTGCTGTCCTTGGCTGGGAGCCTTGCAGGAGGCTTCCTCAGGCCCTCTGGTTTGCAGCCTGGCGGGGACCCCAGCCCCGGCAGCGAGCAGCCGGCCTTTCCGAACTTGCTGACTTGCTTTTCCTCCATTTTCTTCCGAATTAAGTGACTCCTGTGGCATAAGGTAACTGGAAACCTTCATTCTCTGTACAGCAAGAGGCATCCCATCTGCTTCCTTCCTGTGGTTACTTTAACCAGAGTGACTGAGTTTTACTGAAAAACTCACCACAGCTGAGCTGACACTACCCTTTTCCTCCATGCAGGGACAGAACAGTGTGTTCAGCTCACACTCACGAGAGTCCGCAGGCTCCTGCCTCAAGCCGCTGACGCTTGATGTTTTTGCTCCCGCTGCCG